GCCTGACCACGTGCACATGAATGTTAAAAATCAGGTCGCTGGGATTCAGAACTTCCAGAGAAAGCTTAGAATATACACTCTTGTGATAACATTTTACTTTATTTTTTAAAGATTTTTTTTCAAAGTCAGATATACAGAGAGGAAGATCTTCTGTCTGCTGATTCACTCCCCAAGTGATCATAACAGCCGGAGCTGAGTCAATTTGAAGCCAGGAGCCAGGAGCTTCCTCCAGGTCTCCCACAAGGGTGCAGGGTTCTAAGGCTTTGGGCCGTCCTCGACTGCTTTCCCAAGCCACAAGCAGGGAGCTGGATGGGAAGCAGGGTTGCTGGGATTAGAACTGGCGTCCATGTGGGATCCCGGCACATTCAAGGAGAGTACTTGAGCCACTAGGACACTGCTTCGGGCCCCTGATAACATTTTAACTGGAAATACATAAAAAAATATGCCAGTTGTGGGGATCTACTGGGGTAAACTCTCGCTTTGCATGCGTGGGATGCATGGACCCTGCTGTGTGTTCCAGCTGCTCCACTTCTCATCCAGCTAGCTGTTTGTGGCCTGAAAAAGCAGCTGAGGATGGTTTAAAGCCTTAGGATCCTGCACCCACACAGGCGATCTGGCAGAAGCTCCTGGTTTCCGGCTTTGGGTTGGCTAAGCTCTGGCCACATGAGGAGTGAACATGAGGATGAAAGATCTTCCTGTTTCTCCTCTCTGTAAATCTGCCTTTCCGATAAAAATAAATAAATGTTTTTTAAGAAAAAATGTGCAAGTTTTTTAGAGTAAATTAAACTGATCTCTAATTCAAGCACAACTGTTGACTAATTAAAAATGGATCCTTATTTACAAGTTCAAATAATAACTTCTGTTACAAAACAGAACCTGTGAGACATTTTTTGCTGTTACTAAAAACTTGAAGTGGTATTTGGAAATAGGGACTATATTAAACGTTTTTGTAAAGTATGATCTTTACTACTTCAAGCTTCATAGAGTTTTCAAGATTTGTTTTTATTGGAAAGGCAGATTTACAGAGAGAAAGATCTTCCATTTGCTGGTTCATTCTGCAAGTGACTGCAACGGCCAGAGCTGAGCTGATTCAAAGCCAGGAACCAGGAGCCTCTTCCAGGTCTCCTACGTGGGTGCAGGGTCCCAAGGCTTTGGGCCATCCTCCTCTGCTTTCCTAGGCCACAAGCAGGGAGCTGGATGATCCTGGTGAATGCATGGCGAGGATTGTGCCAGTAGGCTATGACGCTGCGCCTCAAACAGAATAGATAATGTCCCTTTCTTCAACTCCAGATGGGTTAAAATGAATTAGCAGTCTAGACAGTTTGTTTTTCTAATTTTTCAACCTATGTTCAGTCTTTATTATTTTGACTTTCAGATATTTTTTCCGTTATAGCCATATTTAAATGCTAAAATATAAGCCAATAGCTCTCATTTTTCTTCTTGCTGAGCCAATTTTTCTTATTTTTGCTAGTAACAAATTAAATTTTACTTATCTAAAGGTGGGATGGGGTGGACGGACAGTAGGGCACTCTCTCCCATCCACTGCTAGATTCTGCAAATGCTTGCCTCTGCAGACAGACAGTCGAGGCCCGGCCAGGCCAAAGCCAGGAGCTGGGACCCCAAGCCGAGTTTCCTAGTGCGTGGCATGGTCTGTGTCAGCAGGAAGCTGGAGTAATGAGCAGAGCCTAACCTACCTGGGCACCACGCTGTGGGATACGGGGTCACCTGGTGTCTTGACTGCAAGGTCAAATGCCTGCAGTGTTTAATTTTTAGTCATTGAGGACAATCATAATGGAATGGTGCTTTTTCTGCAGGATCAAAATCATTGATAATAATTCAGTCACTTAAGTAATTTATTAAGAAAATCCAGTATTGTTGATTAATAGCAAAAAAAAAAAAAAATGAAGAGCGGCTTCTCACATCTTGGGCCCCAACATTCCTTTGCTATTCACATCAAAATGCAGTAGTCCTCACATTTGTTACCATGGATTTCAAAAGAATAATCTACATTTCTAAAAGCTATTTATATAGAGCAACAAAAGAAACTGTAATTAACCTGGAGCCTTTCCATAGCATTGTCTTTGGGGTCCAAGCAGAACCCTGTCGGAGGGGACAGAGTTCTGTGGCCTGGTTCCAGTGTGTGTGACACCAGCTCAAGAACAAAAAGTCAATGGTGAATAGAAAAGGATGCTAAGCAAAGGGTCTGCATCTTTTGAGATCAAACAAATCGGTTGAAGGAGCTACAATAGCAGTGGTTACTCACAGGACTTTCCAGCAAGAGCCTGAGGGAACAGGTTGCTCACAGGGCTCAGAGAGCAGACGGACTGCTCACCCTCACCGGCTTGCAAGGATTCTTGGATTCTCGCTGGAGAATATTTCGGAAGGCCGGATGCTATGGATCCTGACTTCCGAAGGCCATCTGTCTCTCCAGGTGCTTGAACTGTGAACTGTGCATTTGTCTTCAGCGTGCATCCGATCCAGTTGCAGAGGACAGATCCCGCTTCCCTCCTCACCCACATTCTGCTTTGGTCTCTCCAGCTGTCAGGAACCCCACCCATTCCCACTGTGTTAGCCACTCCATGCTACCCCCGGGACAGGACTTCTCTCCTTACCATGTTCTTTGAAATGCAGATTCATTCAGGACATTTAGTTAGTATCACGATAGCCACTACATTGGAACTTAATAAAAGAACCCTGGAAAACAAGGATTTAGGAGATTTCCTGATATTTGGCCAATGGCTTAGCTTAAATTAAGCTGTATTTCCCGATTTCCTTTTGATAAGAACTCAAAAATCAGCCTCCATTTCTCTGGAAGCCAAACTACAAATTTATTTACGAAGGCAAAATGGACATTTTCCCTCCTGGGCAATATTCAATGGGGTGACACTTTGGATATTTCAACTTCTGTAGTGACTGACATTGAGTGAACTGCTATCAAAACGTATTTTCAAAAAGCAAAATGCTTGTAGAAACAGGTGACACTTGTCTTTCTGACTGGGTGTTCAGGTAACGCTTTTCTAGCCAGAATTCTATTTGCTCCTGGAGTTTGGGCTTCCCGGGGATCCTCCCCTGCCTCCCGCTTGTTTACCAGGGCGAGGAGGCCTGCATCTCCGCCTCTGATTGGCTGGCTGCGAGCAGATCACTGGCCCGGAAAGGCACCGTGCCACAGGGCCATGCTAAGTGTGGTCCCGCCCGCGGGTGGAATTTTAAACCCAGCACGAGCATCTGCCTTTCAAGAGAGCATTAACTGGCAGGACTGTCATCACACGGAGCCCACCAGATTGTTTTAAGGCAATTTGAAATAACCCTCGCCAGAAACAACAACTTGGGAGACCTCGTGGCTCAAAAAAGAATACACTGAAAGGCAAACGAACCCAAATGACACACATAGCTCTCCGTAGGATGAACAAAATCCGAGGCGGACAGAGACGTCAGCTAAGCCAACAAGTAAATTATACTACTTATATCCGGACTAAATGAAGCCACGACTTGGATGCTTTACTTGGCGCTTCCCAGCTACTCAGAGTAAACCAAACGCGGCCAACTTTCAAAGTGCATTTATGGTCGCCACAGAAACGCTTCGCCACGGCTTGCTCCGGGCTTGCAATCCCGCAGGTTGGAGTATCCAAGACGCTAGGTTCCTCCCTCGGTGTGTTGTTCTAAGTATGTCTTATCTACACTGTAGCTTTTTGTGTTTCCTCCCAAACTTTATGAAACTGTATCGATGTTATGTAATCCTGTTTCACAGGTCTCCCTCCCTCAACTCCCTTGCCTCTGACAAAAATAAGCAATGTATCCAGCACCCCAAAAGAACGCTATCTTCGGGTTTGTGCACCTTGGGGAAGCATGTGCAAAGCACGGTGTCGGGGAGGATCAGGACCGCGAGGCAGGCGATTAGGGGACAGCCACAGGCAGGAAGCCGAGCAGCTGATGGGTCCTCATGAGTCTCTTAATCTGCCCAGGACAACGAGCTTCAAGGTCTCTTAAAAACTTCATTTTCTTAAGGCTGCAAGCCGAGAAACCGGGGCAGAATACGCCCAAGACTGCCACGCCGGCAACCCAGGTCGAAGCAAGTGACTCAGGTGGACTGCGCGCCGTTCGCAGTCGGCGTGCGGCGGGGATGCGAGGCGCGGCCCCTGCCTTGCCCTCCGCTCAGCCACCAGCACAGCCAGCGAGACAGGCATGCAACGCACGGCCAGCACCCTCCTCGGGCCCAAACACGACCCCCGCGCACCCAGGGGCGAGCGCTCTCTCCAAGCTGGGCTTAGGTGAAGGCAGAAGAGACGAGAGGAACCCGCGCGGTAAGTCACGCAAAGGTGCTTGCTGCGGGCTGTGTCAGGTACTGGTTCCAAGCGGGCCCAGGCGGTGGCGGTGGTCCGAGGGGCTGGGGCGCCGCAGCCCAGGGACCCTTCACCCTTAAAGCGACCCTCAGGGTCCCCAAGACTCGGGTGGAGACCCTCCCCTTTCTGCGCCCTTTCCTCCTCCTCCTCGCCCCGCGGCCTTTCATGCGTCGGGCGGCCCTGGGGAACCTCAGGCTGCCAGCCTCTCTGCGCCGCCCCGGCAGGGCCGCCCCCGGCGGCGGGGACCCCGACCCGACCCCCTCCGGCCGCACCCCTGCCCCTCGCAGAACGAACGCACCTGCGGCCCCGCCCCCGGCCCAGCGCGGAGGCGGCGGCGGGCTGGCGAGGCCGGGCGGCCCGGGCCCCGGAGGCGCAGTCACCTTTCCCCGACCCCCGCCAGGCCGCCCACCCCCCGCGCTCCGCCAGGGAGCAGCCGCCGCGCTCCTCGGCCGCCCCGAAATCTAAACGGGGGTCCGTTCTCCGGCACCACAAACCAAATGGCTGAACCTCCCTGGCCGGCTGCGCAGCCCGCCCATTGGGCCCTCCCCCCCACGCCGCCGCCATTGGCTGCGGCCCGGAGACCCTCGGCGGCGATTGGCGCGAGGCGCTGCCGCTCGGCCGCGCGGGGCCGCAGATCCCGCCTCCGCGGCGATCAGGTTCGTGTGCGCCGCGGGTGCTGGGGGCTCGAGCACCGAGCGCGGAGCTGGTTGAGCCTTCAAAGTCCTAAAACGCGCGGCCGTGGGTTCGGGGTTTATTGATTGAATTCCGCCGGCGCGGGAGCCTCTGCAGAGAGCGAGCGCGAGAGATGGAGATGGACAAACGGATTCATTTAGAGCTGCGGAACAGGACGCCCTCTGATGTGAGCATTTGCCAAAAATATCTCGGGCGGTCCATTCTCCTACTTTGTGTGTGTGTATGTATATGTGTGTGTGTGTGTGCGTGCTGGAGGAGGAGGTGGGGGGAGAGGCACTTTTCCTCGAGGGGAGGGGGCGCCCGGGAGGTGTGGGGTCGGGGGTCGCAGGGCTGCGGGTGGGAGGGCGGCGGGCTGCAAGGCCCCCCAGCCCATTCCCGGAGCCCGTGCCGCCCGCTGCCCTTGCTGGGTGACTACCTGTGTGTGTGCGCCCGCGTGTGCGAGGTGGGTGCGAGGCGCTGCGTGCGAGTGTGCAGCGGCGGGGCGGCGGGCGGGCGCACGCGTGCGGGCCGCGGAAGCCTCTGGGCCCGCTGCTCCCGTGACTCGGCCGGGCAGGGACGGGCGCGGGAGGCGGCGGCGGCGGCGAGGGGGCCGCCCGCCGGATTTCCCGGTCCCGGGGAGGGGGGCTCGCGGCCACCGCGCGCCCCTCCCGCGCTCGCCCGGGCTGGCTGGCTGGCTCTCACGCGCGCACACACACGCACACAGACACACACGCACACAGACACACACACACAATAAGTTTTGGGCGCCGCGAGTCCGGTTTAGTTTGCGATCCGTGTGGGCCGAGGCCCGCGGAGTTGGGGGCGGCTCGAGTTGAAAGTGCGTCCTGGCTGCTTCGCAGTGATGAAGCGAGAGACTGGGGAGCCATATTTGTAACTTTGTAGTGTTCGTGAACGCGCCCTTTCTCTCCCTCCCTCCCTCCGCCTGCCTTCCTCTCCTCCTCTTTCTCCCTCACTCTTTCCACACCACCTTCGGGCCAGATGCTGAGGTTTCCTCCTCGCCCGGCGACCACCGGAGGACAAATTCGCGGCAGGGGGAGGGCTTCTCCACGCTGCCCCTGGGCGCCCGCGGTCCCCGCGCCTACCCGCCTCTTCCCCGCCGTTGCAGCTGCAACTTGCCCCGAGCCTCTGCGTCCCGGGTGCCTCCTCCTACCCCTCCCCCGTCCTCGCCCCCCAACCCCTTCCGGCCTCCCTTCAAGCCAGTTCAGCTCGGGGCGGACTCCCCGGCAGCCCCCTCTGCGCCCGGCTCCGACCCAAGCACAGGAAACTTTGTTAGGACGCGGAGCTGGGCGCCGGCCGGGAAGCTGGGGTGGAGAGGGGGACCCACGGTCGTGCGGGGCAGGGCGCGCGCGCAGCCCCGGCCGTGGACTTTTCGCCTGTCCGCTACTGTGAACGGCGAGATCTGGTGGAGGAGGAACACTTACGCGCGGATGGGAGGCCGGAGCGCACCCCAACGAGGGGAAGGCGAGCTGGGGGACGTGTTCCTGGCTCCTGCTCGCTTTCACGCGTGGCTATTTCTTGCGACTTGGCGGCTCGGCAAGGGGGGGGAACCCCGGGGGCTGCTGTGCGGACCCCGGCGGGACCCTCGCAGGCTCTGGGAAGCCCCGGAGTTGGGACTCGGGGGGGTGGGGGGGTGACCCCCCAAGTGCGGACCCGTCGCCCCTCCGGCCCGTTAAACCTGAGTCCCTGGCGCAGCCAGGCCTCGCTTCCTCTTCCCCTAGTTCCTCCCCCGAGCTGGAGTGAGACTTTTGAAAACAAGATCCTTTTTGTCCCTCCTTCTCTCGCCGCGGCCGGTGGACGTGCCAGTGCCTGCGGGGTGCCGGGGAGGGGGCGCCCTGGCCCGGCGGGAGTTCCTGCGGAGTGCTTCTCGCGCCGCCTGGACCCCGCAGCCCAGCATTTGGGGGGTGCTGGGTGTGGTGATGGGGGAGGGGGCCGAAGCCTCCGTCTTCCCGCGTACTTTCCGGAAGCCCCCGGAGGGGCGGAGAGGGTCCGAGTGATTGCAGCTGGCCGCCTGCCGCCTGGGAGCGCAACGGCAAGCGGGTCGAACCGGCTTTAAAGTTCGCGAGTGTGCGCGGCGGCGCGCCGGACGGGGAGGATTCTCACGCTGCGCCCCCTTGGCCCGCCAGCCTGGCGGCCCGCACGCCGGCCCCGGCCTCCGGGCGGGGTGGGGCGCAGGCGGCGGGGGAGGGGGCGAGAGCCAGCGAGCGAGGGACAAAAGGGGTGGGGGAGGAGAACCGGGGTTTTGCACGGGTTCCGGAGACAAACGGCTCCGGGGGAGCGCCCCCTGCGCCCTCCCTCTGCGCCACCCCCCACCCCCGTGGCGGGGGCGGTCTCCCGCGCGCACACAGACACACACACACACACCCACACCCACCTTCGGGACCTCTCCCAACTCGGCTCCGGGGCTGGTGGCCACGCCGCGACGGCGAACTAGGACGAGCAGCCATGTTCCCCGGTCTCGCGCGGCCCGCCCCGCCCCTCCCCCACGGCGGTGCGCGCGGGGCTCGGCGTGCGGGCTCGGCGGCTGCAGGCGGCGCGGGGAGCCGCGCGCCAGGCGGGCCGGTGGGCTCGTTCCGAGCAGGTTCCGAGCTCCGGCTGCGGCATTTGTGAATGTGATTTTTTTTAATTTTTTTTTTTCCTATTTTGAGACCCACCCTGGGGCCGACCCTGAAGGGCTCCAAGGCGTGCTTGGGGCCAGGGGCAGCGGTAGGGGGTGCGGTTGCGAGGTACGGCTGGGGAGAACCGCCAGGGCCCTTGGCGCGCCTGTGGCACGACTGCCGGGCGCCGAGCTGCCATTTTGTCACCGTGGCTGTTGTCGCCGGTGGGGGGTGGGGGCAGTGAAGTCTTGCGCCATCGACCCGACGGCCTCCAACGAGGAGGAGACCTTGGAAGTAGCGCCAGTGACCCCCCCCCCCATAGGGTTGTGTAAGGTGCTCCGATTGGGGTCTGCACCCCTCGCGTCGCTGGAAGGGCCGCACTCCACCGGAGGCGCCGCCCCTACCCGCGGCTCTCTGCCCTCCCGCCCTTCTCTCCAGGGTTCGCTGGTCCTCCTGCAGGCGCAGACATAGTTAAATGTAGCCTTAAGAACGGCCAGATCCCCCACCACCACCACTGCTGGCTCCTTGGGCGGAAGTGATGGGGTGGGGGTAGCCTTGCTCGGGAGGGGTCTGCGGGTGATGCAGGGTGGGAGAGAAGGGGGAGGGAAGAGGGGGTTTCTAAGGCCAGCCTGGAGCCCAGGATAGCCAGCCTCTTTCCCCCAGAGGCAGAGGTGTGGATAGAAGTGTTGGGGAAACGCCCTCCAGGAAGGTAGGTGCTGCAGGTGGGTGTTGTAGGGGCTTCCCTCCTTACTCTGTATTTTTGTCCCAGGGAAGGGAGTTTAAATAGTCAGTCGGAGTAACCCCTACCCTAAAGAAGAGACCAGGATCACTTTAGAAAAAAAGTGAACTGCCTTTCTCTGTTCTGTACGTCCCCCCTCCGTCTGCCGGAGCCATGTCCGGCCCAGACTGCCCTGCAAGCCGGCTCTGACTGTGACCTTTGGAATACATCGCATGATGTTTTGCAGGCTGACTTGCTGCCTAATGGGGTTCAAGGAGCCTGATGTTAACTCCAGTTTTGTGCGAGCCAGCTAGAGAGTCACTCAGAACATTGAGCCCATGTTGTCCTTGGTCACTGCCAGTTGAGTTTGGTTGCACACCGGACTTTTTGAGGCTGGGGACTCCGTAGGGAAGCTGGGCTCCAACCAGGGCCCAGGCCTGGCTTGCAATTCCCTGGGCACAGAGAGGGAGGAGCTTTCTGCTGGTTGACCCCAGTTGCATCTTTGAGGCTGTCTGTGTAAGGTGGGAGGGATGGTAATCCCATTTCGCCCTGGTTTGCTGGAGCCTTCAACGCTGGTCCGAGTACCACGGCGGTGACAGCAGAGGCTTGAGTTGAAAATTGATTGTTTACAGCAGTAACTGCTGCTTCTGCAGCACCTGGGCTGTGTGTGGCACATGTATGTAAGTAGATTCCACACACCATACAGCTCTGTGGGAGGAGGGAGCGTTCTTTTCTTGCTGCACACTTGGACAAGGGGGCATAGGCAGGTCATCGTGTGATGAGTCAGGCAGAGCCTGGATTCGTGCTGCGATCCTTGGCACCCCATCTTGGGGGACACTCCTTTCTTTCTCCCCTTACTTTGGAATGATGCCACCGGAGGGAGGGAGGGAAGGAGGGAATTAAGCTGCAGCTGAAGGTCCACGCATGCAGACTGCCTATCCTCTTGGGTTCTGGAGCTCAACATCCTAGCTCCAAGGCCACCATGACCTGGAGAGGACCTCATGCTGAGGACGGCTCAGCACGGGCACATCTAGTTAGTCTACAAGGATCTGGCCTGTTGGGTGCTGAGAGCAGGCAGGCAGGGAGCGGCCCCTCAGACAGCAGCTCCTATGGTATCATCTCCCGTGTGATGCCTTCTCTGTTGGCCTCTGACTACACAGCCAGGACACTGACCATTGGCCTGTCCTTAGTATCTGGGACATTGTATACCCCTAACACCTCCTGGATCATCTCCCTTAATCCTCCCCACAGCTCCTTAGCGGCATGCCAAGCGGTGTGCTGTTAGCCCTGTTCAGAGGGTGAATCATCTGAGGTTTTCAGGCAACGCCGGACAACTGGCAAGCAGCAGCCTGGGTCTTTGTACTGTGAAACCCGATGCCCTTAGGTGGACCTCAGGAACTGCTGGTGTCATCCTCTCGGGGTCCAGCGTGATGTTATTATTTTAACCAAAATTAGCAGGGAAGCATGCGGGATGCAGAGGTCCGGGCTCCACTCCTGGGTAGAAGTTGATCGTAGTCAGCCCCAAATTACGGCTGAGCTGCCTGTGTTTGGACAGCTCATGAGCTAAGAATGATTAATACATGTAAACATGGCAATGGCTTGGATGTGAAATACACACGCTGAATCCCAACCGAGTGAAATGTTACCCCTCCAAAGAAAGTTCCACCTACCTCCTTAGCAGACCTGTAAAAAAAAGCACCCAGTATGATTTTGAGTTTTATCAATTAAAAAAGATTCGTTGAAATTTGTTTTTGTTCTTACGGTGAAAGTGCTCGTGTGTCATGTTCTCCGTGTAGTTCATCCTTGGTTTAGTCGCCTGGGAGGAGGGACCCCAGGGTTGTTTTTGTTTTCTTCTCCAGCATGAGGCAAGCCTCGCATTTCTTTGGGCAGTGTGTCTGGAGCCTTTCCACATCTTTCTATATGTGCCGAGTAAAAACCGGCCTACAGTTTGCAGGAGCCGACCGGTTCGGTGGCACACAGCCTTCTTGTCCACTTCTTGTGTCTAACCAGTTCTCAGGGGCTAAACAGTGACCCTCCCCTGTGACTGGTCTTCTCTGGGTCAGGTGAAAGGAGTTCAGGAAGGCAAGCCTCAGGTTTTCTGGCCTGCCTGAGGAGGGAGGGGGAAGCCACAGACAGTCTTGGGGCCTGGTGGTCTTGGCCTGTGCTGTGTGCCCCCGGGATGTGTGTTTCCTGCTCTTGGGGCCTTCCTGTTCTCCAGTGTCTTTGACATGAGCTAGTGAGTGGAAGATTGACCTGGCCTGGAGAGGAAGAGAATTATGCAGGGGAGAGGGGTTTGGGGGTGGTTCATGACAAATCCTGGTTCACCTCACAGCATCCTGAACTTGGAGGCCTCAGTTCCTCCTCAGCCACCCTACACCACCAGTGGACTTGGTCTAGATGTCCGTGGTTGGTAGCACTGTTGTAAAAGCATGGGTTTGAGTTTTCAGTGCTGAGTGTCCCAGAGGTTCAGTTCAAATGTATCCCACCACACTGAGAAAATAACTTGGGGCCGTTAATGGTCTGTGGTGGAGGCTGTCTCCTTAGTGCCAGGCTGCCCGCTCCTCTACCTTGGCATCAAGACACTGCAAGGAAGCAGGGGACTCAGCTTAGGAGGGTCTCAGGGGTCCAGATGGAACACACCGTTGGAGATGCTAGCCACCTTGTCCTCCCCTCCCGGTCCTATGTTGGCCTGTCCTCCTCCTGCTCTAGCTGGCTGTCCAGCCTATTGGCAAGTACCCACTAGCAGTCCCCCAACCAGCGGAGAAACGGGGACCTGGCTGGTGGCTCCTATGTCGCCTTGAAGTAGAGCTGCAACACCAGTAATAGATGCCCAGCACTGGTGCTCTGTGGAGGTTGGCAAAAGCAGCTGTGCTGAGAACTTCTCATTTAAAGCGATTTGTCATCGTTGGTGCTGAGCCTGGCCCCCATGGCCATGAGCCACTAGCCAAGGCAGGGAAGAGCCCAGTTGTCTGTAAATAATAAGACCACGGCCGGTCCCTGGGGTCTTGGGCTTCCGGGGCTCCCTGTGACCCTTGGGTGCTTGCTTGGGTTTGCTTTGCTTGGCTCTGCAGCCGTGCCTGGCATTCATCTCCCCACTGATTCGTTTCCCACACTGGCTGCAGGCTGCAAATCTGAAAGATCAGCGAACGTACTCTGCTATTACCAACTCTGCCGTGGATTAAAGTCAGCCCTGTTTTTCCCAGGCGTATTTATGTTTGGAGATTCCGGTTTGGTGAGGAAATTACCAGAGAACTATTAAAGACTTGGTTCTGTTCTCAGCTTTGCTATTAACAGAGCTGAGTGCGTTGTCTGGGCCTCCTGGGCCTTGGTCGTCCCCACTCTAAGGTGGGGTGGTGGAATTACAAGGTCAGAGTTCAGATGTTCTGATCTGATTGGTTGACTTCCATACCTGCTACCCAGAGGCCTGTACCCACTGCTGCACCCATGTAGTCCTTACTCAAGAAATGACCACGTACTCTGCTCCTTGATGCAAAATACTTTGGGGTTTGTTAAAAAGGAAATTGGCTGGCTTTGACCTGTAGATTTGGTTCTGTCCCTTGTTCATGTTTGAAAGACATTAAAAGGTGAGTGTTAAGTTCCCCCCATGTACTGAAGGGTTTTTGTGTTGTGGCTTGCGGGAATGAGAAAATACTCTTTGCTCTGGGGACCCCTTGGCACTGTGAGCCAGTCATGCTGCCTCCTGTTTGGAGCCAGATCAGCTCTGGATGCTGTGTTCTCAAGCTGCCTGCTCTCTCTGACTCCCAGCCCCAACCTTTTCAGCCACACAAGGCGTCATTATCCTAACTAAACTCCTTCCCCTTGCAGACAGCTTCCATAGCTC